CCTCATGCGTGACAGCAACATTGCATACCGCCGCTCAGTCCTCCTGGGAAAACAAATAGGAGTGTGTTGCATGGTATTTGAACATCGTCGTCGTGTGCTGCCAAAATAGTAAATGGCAGTTTTACAGTGTGGAACCGACCGGTCGGACATAGTCTTTTTAGCGTCCTGGACATGACATGATGCATAGTTACTTTGAGATCTCAATCGATGAGTCATACACCCACAAAGCTGTTTTCAGTACCCGGATGAGTATTTTAGACCCCTGCGGCACTTACTTTTGCTTGCGAATCAAGTGCCGTCCATAAAAAATTATCTCCAAGGAGCAAGGCTAGGACCACTAGAATAAAATATGACGACCTGCTGCGTGCATGGCATCCTGGTGCTTCCAAAGGACTAGTCAGAAATGCTGATGAATCCGGTTTAGGTGTGTTAGACAAGAATCGACAAGGCTAGCTTAACCTCGAGACTGTGAAAGGCCAATTTAGCCAAACAGAATATGAGTACTTAGGTACGTCTTTGACGCTTCAGAAAGTTTCTCCTGGACGCCGAAAATCGGCGAGTATCGTCGTCTAAATGCCCAAACCAAATATTTCAGCTGAGCTGTGGCATTTCTTGAGGCTTGCTAGTTTCTTTAAAAAATAATAAAGTTGAAAGATGGGCTAGTTGGTAGTTGTTGCTTTCATCGTGTGTCCTGTCAGGTATGTTCCGTTTTGTCATTGTCTTTTGCGATGTTTAAATCACCGTGTTCTTTGGAAAGCTAGTGCTACAACACGCAGATGTGGCCCCGGATGCTGAAAACTGAAGCACATTTACAAAAAAAAAAAAAACGGAGGCGCATGACGGCTTTGCAACACTCAAACGAAATCTGGTGTCAGACCTGTATATGCGCTGTTCTGTCACCGCAAAGAAACTGTGCTTCACATTTATGCGACCAGAAAAGTACTGGCAGGTGTGCTCCTCCAAAATGGTGACAAGTATTTTCGAAATGTACAGTACTGCGTCTGTCGCCATAGAGGTGACTCAAGACAGAGCTATCACTCAAGCTAACCGGAACTTCTGGCAGTGGTGTGGTCTCAGGACCAACTGCGCTGCCTCTACCTGGGAGTTAAATTTCTCATAGTCACCGACTGTAGTACTTCTGTTCATCTACACTTAGAAATTGGTGAACACTCATATTGCAAGGTGGTTTGAGCAGTTAAGCCAACATTACTACACCATTTAGCAACCGTCGGGCACACAAATGGTACACGTGGATTCTCTCAGCCGTGCACCAATCGAAGAAGTCAGTAGACTCCTGCAAAAACATTCAAGCCTGGGGGACACCTCAAGGTCTTTACTGCGTTTATTCACTACACAGCCACTCCAGGAGACGAAGTGGCAATGATCTAAACGCAGGATTTACAACTATGCCACAAGATGAGCGTACTGCAAAAATTACAGGTCCAAAAATAAACAGCTCAACAACACTAAGTGAACGGCAACAAGCGAGGCACTCTGTTCTCAGCTATGAGTAGCAGGATGATGGCACAAAGAAATATTTATTTGTACTACCAAAGAGCATGAAAAATCTCACCCTTGGATTCTTCAGTAGACCTGTACGGGATTTGCAAACAAAACAGCAAAGCTACAACTCCTACTTGAAAGAAAGGACAAGAAACAACTGTCGGTCATTATCCTTCAACAGACCAACTGCGAGGGCGTCAAAATTAACGGTTACGAACCACATACGGCACCATCCGTACCGAGGGCGATCCCAAACAAGAAGAGCACGGATAATAGACGACCGTTATAGGACAGGTGGCTACTGTGTTCGACCAGCACGTTTTTTTTTTTTTTACGCAAAGGGAATTGGCAGACCTGTGCAACGAAGCAAGAGAGGCAGTCGAAGTGCAAAGTAAATGCGACAGAACTACCTTTACAGTATTACGACCTATATCTGACCCGCAGACAAAACGTTGATGATAGCTGGCTTGAGCAAGTCAGACCCAGGTGCAATAAATAAGCCATCATAATTGGCGAAACTTTCAACGCTTCACACGAGAACTAAGGATACGATCGCTCATACTCTCAAGAAAAGGCCCTGAAACGGAAAGCAAAAAAGCTAGGTTTTTTACTAAACAATGAACCCGTTACACAAGGATCGGGGTTCATGCGAAACAAGTAAACATCGAGCCCGATCCGACTTGGACAACTAATAACGTCAAAGCCTATTCGAGAAGAATGATGAAACGATGGGCAGCAAAACCTACCTATCAAGATGGAGCTAACCAAACAAACACAGACATAGACGAGACGCCCCTTTCATCTGATGGGTTACGTTTCACGAAACTACCCAAAGAGCCGATCTCTCGCTTCACTTTAACCGCCAGATTCAACATGCAGTTGAAGCGGCGGAAAGAACGACCGAATTAAAGGCACACGTAACCCGGACTGCATTTGCTCAAACTATGGACTGGCAGACTCCAGGCTCGACGGGGATAGAGAAAAACAAATCTCAACATCTGTTTCAAGATTAAATTCAATATCGCCACAGCCTAAGTAAAAAAATTACATGGAGGCGCTCAACCAGCAAATCGGGAGATGGCACGGATTTACACTCACCAAGGCAGGACAAATTTGTGGTTGATACTCTGCAGAAAAAAAAAAAGAAAAAAAAAAGAGTGCAAGGTGAGGAAGGAAGCACGCTCCAAGTATGAAGCTAGACTAGATGTTAGCACTGCTCGAAGACAACGAGAGCGCCATTGTGAGCACGGTCGCTACCGTAGACAAAGCGGGACAGCCATTACATACTAAAGTGCCAACAATCACGGAAATTTCGCGGTTACTCTACGCAACGAGACCAGCGTAAAGAAAGCTGAATTTCAAGCTATTAAAATGACAATCAAAGCTTTCGAAGTTGGCAAACAAAAGCGTAGACTATACATATATGCAGACCGCAAAAAAGCGCTGTAAGAATGTAACAAATACGACAGCTGTAGCTTGAGAGTAAAAAAAAAATCATGACATCGGCCAAACAACTTTAAACCGAAGGCTGTTACATCAAAATCATATGAATTCCTGAACACGAATTTGTCCAGGGAACTGCGTGGCGCATACAGCCGCACGGGAACTGCTACAGGCATCCCTACACTGGGGTGGGGGGAAGTGGGGGGCGGGCTAACCTCGCCTTATCGAAGGAAAACACGCAATAAAATAGACTGATCCTGCTCAAGTTAAGGGACAAGAACGCAAAGAGAGAGTAGTCTCCATGAACAACTCAAACGTGACGCGCACCCACTTCATCATCTTGTAAACCCTGAGATGGGGAACAATAAAAAAGCGGACGCACACAACAAAATTTCTTTTTATCGTTCCCCATCTCAGGGTTTACAAGATGTCGATTAATTACCAGCTCGCCTGCGCTCTCTCACTGCTTACAATTCCACCCATTTCCCTCGACGTCGTACAGTTGATGGGAAAGGGTGTGTCTGCAGAGACGCACCCTTTCCTGGCCGGCGTCTCCATGACGCCGGTCAGAAAAGGAGAGTTTATGAGAAAAGAGAACGAACAATAAGACTCACTAGCCGGAATATGGGAGAAATTCCTTGCACCCACGAGCACACACAATTTTTGTTTTCAAATTTTTTTTTTTTTTTTTTTTAGCTGTGAAGAACGAAAGGTTGTTCTGGAGTCGCTCTTGCCGCATGTGAGACCAAGGTGCCTGAATGATTGGATTCTTTTTGTCGACAGTCCCGAACACCGGAAGAGAAGATTGTATTCACTGATTAGTTGCATGAAGTCGGCAGGGCTTCTACACTGTTTATAACTCTCATCCACTATTCCCCCTGCCTCTTGTAAACAATGACGAGCTTCGACGGCTACACTTCTCCTTCGGCAAGATAAGTGTGTTCTGAACTGGATGGAAGCCATGTAAAATATAAGCAAATATGTAACATTGGTGTCATGAGTGAGATGCTACGTCGCCAGCAGAATACCTTATTAACCGGTGATGCTTCTTTGCTCCCGACTCCTCGGACAACAGTCTCCCGAATTTATAGGTTAACTTGTTTTCTGGACTCATTCGCCAAAGTGCGGGGCCTTGACGAAAAGATGTAAACGTCACTGCCTTCCGTGCATATAGTATTTAAAGTGCTCAACTGTGCGGTGGACTTGAACGTTAGGTTAATACTCGTTGCATCATGGATTGTCTTGCGGCCTAAAGGCTGGTTCACAAATCCACGTCTGCTTATGCTTTCTTTTTTTAGGTTATGAATCACGACGATATTCATGCTTCGAACGTCGCGTGTTGTGCTGCTCCTTAAACTAGTTGTCATGCTTTGTACGAAGTACAGATCTTTTGGTGGCTCTCGTCGTAAGTAGATGTAAGCTCGCGTAACGCAAAAGTAACGTTACATAAGGTAAGAAAACGGGGTTGTATGAACCATTCTTTACACTCATGTGACTACCACCAAATGTCCGCAAAGCACACAACCCTGCAGCGAATGCTGCAGGGCTTTCTTGTCAAATAACACCTCAACTCACGGAGTTGAATTAAAAAAATTGTGCCGTACCTGGTTTCCTCCTGGCGCAAACTGTCTTTTTATTGTAATGGCTCCTTCCCTCGCACTCAAAAAGGTGGCGATGTTCGAAATAGGGAATGACGTCAACATCTGGCTCGGTCGGTGAGCATCGAGATAATGGGCGTCATGACAAAGATTTAAAGCTTAGCGTGGAAACTGAATTAACATAGGCCACGCGACGTCCGCTTGCGAACACGCACTGACGGACAGGCAGCTGGACAAAAACTTTTGGATTGCGCAATTCTGTTAAAAAGCATTGCATTAAATATGGTCACGTCTGGCATGCCTTACTAGATGACACCTCACAGCGCATATTTAGTTCATTGTGCTAAAGAAGACACATAAAAACAACACGCGAAAATACCAGCATGATACTTCTACTGCAGTGAACAATAGAACTAATATATTGATTTATTTTTTATTACCCGAATGTTCGGAAAGGAAATGTGGAAGAAGACGAAATAAATCGCAATATAGGTAAGTACCCCATGACAAAATTTATTTTCATTTTAATATTTGCTACAATCGAGAGTTCAATAAAAGGTGCACTACAATCTTCACCTGTAATCAAAACGGGTGTACTGATACGTAGATGTGAGAGAGTTTTCGTACTCTTTCAACGTTAGTTTTGTTTACGTAATCCGTGGTAATAGTTTAAATCGGTCGACCGGATTGTTGCCCGAAGCATAAATTGTGCACCGTGGAGGTGATTGGGTGTAGCGCACAGTAGAGCACTCTATTTTCCAGTGAACTAAATGGCAACCGTTTCACCGTCGCATACGAAGACAACGCATCTATTTGGGATCACGGGGACCTAAAAGTAACCGGAGTGAATTTCTTGAAGGTTAGTAGTACGAGCTTCATCCGCTAGCAGCGCTTAGTGGCATTTCTTTCGAGTCAGATTATAGACTTGCATCGTCTGCTATTTTTTTTTTTTTTAAGAGAAGGCTAGAACGGTGGCGGACACCTCTGTAACGCCTTATACAGCTTACAAAGAAGTTGGCTATTAAGAAATCACACGTTTACGAATGACTTTCTTGCTTCAAGACAAGACAGTGGAGCAGGTTGAGAGGTGGCATCTCTCAACCTGCTCCACTGATGAAAACATCGAGAAAATTCGGGCATTGTTTACTCCGAGTTTGTTCCTCCTGGTAAAATTGTTAATCAAGTGTTTTACGTGGGAGTTTTGCGACAGTTGCGCAACTCAGTGAGGCAGAAGTGACCCGACGTCTTGGAAAAGGGGGAGTGGTGGTGTCATCATGACAATGCCCCAGCAGACACTTTCCTGTCAGTGCAACTATGTTTGAAGACGGATGGCATGACCGGAACCCGTCCCGTGTGACTTTTTTTTGTCCGCCCGTACGAAGAATGCCTTGAAAGGGAAACGTTTTGTGGATGTGGAAGGTCGTTCAAATTAGACATTGCAAAAAACAAACAATAATTTTAAAGTGCCCGAGAAAAACAATTTACAACGTACCGCTACAACTTTAGCAGACGACGCCGGTCGGCAATTTAGCTCGGAAGCCAGTTTGCCAACCAACGCTGCTGCCGCCGCCGCCAGCGTTGCTGGCAGCGGAAGTTTACCACATTAAAATTTTACTTGAGCGAGCTTCAAGGGACACAAGGAAATAGCTCACTTAACTGAAGTTTTACTAAACTGAATATATTCACTAAAATATGGAACATCATAGGGAACAGCATACATCGAGTCAAAAGTGTGGATTGCAATTTATGGAGTCATGTACATCGATAAAAAAACAGTACTCAAAGCGCATCAAGTAACAAAGCTGCCTGGAGATTTCACGTTTTTTTTTGTTTTTTTTTCACTTTCTCTGGCACAGCGTTCCTGTGACAAAGCCAAACCGCAACGGCATCGTCCACTGGCTCGAAATATGCCGTGCAGAGTCGTTGCCTGTTGAGATCGAACGCAGTTTCTTCTTCAAGCTTCGACTTTTGCTTCACCATCGTTGACAAAGTCGACGGTGGAGTCCCATAGTCTTTCACGACGCCCACTTGCCCCTGACCGTTGTCCAGACGCTGAGGGATTTTGAGCTTGTCTGATAGAGACAACCGCTTCCGTTTCGTCGTACTCATTACGAAAGTGGGCACACAAACTGCCGTCCTGCCGTTGTTGCTTAAAACTAAGATGGCCGAACGGAACCGATGACAAAGAAAAGACAGACGCACCACGTGGTTCTTTTTCGTAAACCACACCGCCGCTTTGCCTCAGCGGCGCTGTAAACGGGAGCGATGATATACCGCCGCTGCAGAGGTGGCGGGCATCGGCTACGCCAGCACTGCAGGGCACACAACTTCGTTGAACTGATTGCACAAATAATCCTGGGTCTACCGATCAAGTTCACTGAACTGAAATATTCGTTAATCGAAATTCGTTTTTCGTTTAACTAAAACATTTTTCCATATAGTGCATAAGAAAACCGCCGGGGATTTTTTTAAAGTTCGTTATTCTGAGATATTCCTGCAACCGACGTTCGCTCAAGTGGGAGTTTACTGTACGAACGACCCTCCCTCCGGAAATTGATTCCGGCTGCAAGAGACAAAACGAGGAGTTTAAATGTACAGTAAATTTAACAAATGAAAGATGTTTCTTGTTACCTCGACATCCTGAATTAGTTTATGTTTAGTTTAGTCAGGGGTGGAAGCAAACTTCAGCCTTTTGGAGCAGGTCTGGGAGCAGCAAAGATGCCCCTTTGGAGCAGTAAAAGTTCAAATTTGGAGCACCTCAGGAGCAACAAAAATCGAGTTTCGTAGCAGGATAAGCAAATCTTAGAGCTGCTTGGTGCTAGAAGAACAGATGTGTTTTGCAAAATACAAAAGGAATATAAATAAAAAAACATCTACACGTGATGTTCAGAACTATTTCCAAACATGACCAGCACATACCAAAAACGATATTTGAATGGCTCCTGGTGATAGCGGGTTGGTTCTTCTCATTGATTTACAATAGTAGGCAACTAAAGAAAAAACACTTAAGCCTCATGAAAAGAAGACATTTTCACTGTTCAACAACGTAAATCGCGCGTTCTATAAGTTAAAAACAAAACCATTTCAAGATGCAACAGTATGGTATGAAATAAAGTTCAATACTGACTACAGCTCATCATTAGGAAATACACATGTTTCAAGTCTCTGTTTAGGTCACAAAAGTATTCCAATACTCTGAACAGAGTACAAATAGAAAGTATTCCAATACTCAATAGAGTACAAATCTACTCTATATGATAAAAGTACAAATGCAAAATATTAAAAACTTTATGATACCACATATATACCATTCCTGCTCATACATACGCACTTAATTAACCCTTACTAATATAGGCACCACTGACTAAATAGAAACAAGAAAGCTTGATTAGAAGTTTTATTAAAAAAATTGACTGACAAAACTTGCAAGTAAGGGCATAAAACAGAAGATTTTCTTAGAGTCAATGCGGAGCGCAAGTTTGTCTGCTTCTTGCACAGGGGTTGCGTGACGTCAAAACGCCGAGCTCTTATTGGCTGCTTAAAAAAAAATAGTGGGTATATTTCAAGGCACCAAGCATTGAGTCTACCCACTATCATTTCAATCAAAACCAATCGGAGCTCGGCATCGTTCTGAAGCCACCGCATCTCCCTTCATCGCTGTCCTTCATCGCTGGCATGAAGTTTTTTTTATGTTCTTTTGTGTAAAGAAAATACATTTTTTTTTTAGAATGAAGTAGGTACCCATTATTTTGTTAAAACTTTGGGGAGATTATAGAGTTATCTTTGTAAATCGGCATGAAGGCCGTCCATAGTACTACTTTGTGTATTGGAGGCTTTGGCGTTTGGACTGTTTAGAGGATGCCCCTTTGTGTAGGTGTAGAATGGAAAAACAATGCTTTTGCAGAGAATTGGATTGGAACAAACTTTATTTGTTCCTTTCGGAGAGAAAAAAGTAGCCAACCCTTAAAACTAAAATATTTGGCAAGCGTTTGTTTTCAAAGTGACACGAACTATCGTAGCCGAGACAGCAGTTAATGTACTAAGCACTTTTACATATGCTGAGATAAAATATTTACAATATTAGAAACGATAAAAGAAATGTTATTGAAAGGCATAACACTACACAATTTTAACTTGCAATGCATAAAAATCAATTTCAAAAGGGCTCGTACTAGCCAGTTTTAAAAACAGATGAAGTTTTCAAAATAAATTATTGAAAGGCCTCATGCTAGACGCAATATATGTATACAACTATAATATATATATATATATATATATGCAACATTGAAAATATAGAAGTGGTTCAAATATTAATGTAGCAAAAAAAAACACAAATGTTACATGAAAGTAACATTTGTTGGAGTTTTTATTTTACTCCATGAAAGATTGAGTAAAATAAAAGATACACAAAAGTCATCAAACTAGTCCGGATCTGACCGGCGTCAAGGAAACACCCCGTAGCTGGCGCAGCCAGCCAGGAGACACGGCAAAACCTCCTTGATTCTTAATGGCGGCCAAGGGGGTAGAGCGCTAAAGATGGACACGTGTCATACACCGGCCTACCGCCGAGCTCGGCGGCGTGATCAAACCTGGTCGCTACTTTTCCAGTGTAGAAGGACTCTACTCAGACGTTACTAATCATGGGGTGACCCCCCCTAATCTATTAATCCATTGATCACTACATCATTCTCCAGGGACACCCTGCAAAAACATCGGCGATTGCTACTTCAACCTGGTTTGCCAAAATGGATCTTGCCAGAGTAAGTATGACGAATGTCGCACTAACCTTTAAAAATTCCCATCGTGAAAACATTGACGGCCTTAAATTAGTCCGAGCAGCAGCTCTTCATTGACAGGCAACCTTGGTGGGATAATTTTGACATTAGTGTACCGGAGTAAATTTCTGCATTATGTTGCATAGACAGAACTATCGGCTCCTAATGCCTAAAACCTGGATGACACTGCTTATACATCATACAAAAGACAGTCTGCAAACAAATTCCAACTACCGTCACCGCGATATCCGTGGTTCGAATGCCGCATGGCAATGAGTTCAAGGAGAAACTTGGCACGCGGCATTCGAACCACGGATATGGAGGTGACTCGTGCTTGCAGATTGTATTTTGTATGATGTAGGAGCAGTGTGACCCCAGCTTAAGAAGTAACCGGAAAATACTAAATCCTCATTTTTCAAATAATAACCTAAACACACACACAAACTCTTTTGTCCTGAGACATCTCCAAAGGGCATTCAGTATTTTAAATATCGAATCACCAAGATATATGCCACACATAAATCAAGCTGCTCGAACGACTGGAGCGAAGAAACGTATAGATGGATGGATGGTAATGGCTACACCCTTTGTAACCGGCGGCAGCGTGCGCACTTAGCGCAACTTTTCGTCATCCCCCTATTTTAAAATTTGTATAAAATTTGTTCTAACACAACACGTCACCCCCCCCTCCTTTTAAAGCGTTTCTTTCTATTGCTTATTTTTATCTCCATTTTTACCCCTCTCTAGATCTTTTACACCAATCTTCCAATCTCCTCTTAGCTACCGAAACTGTTTCTCTATCCATTCATTCATTCATGTCTGCAAAGACCAACGAGGTAGAGGGGCTTAGAGCGATAAACCGGGGTTCCGGTCTGCACTCGAAAGTGACCCCCATAAGGAGGCTGCCATTGTACGCAAATTTGACCACACGTCACATGACCAAACCAAATACGTGACGTCACAGGAAAGATGGCAGCGCCCATGCAGCGGCTGGCCCCAGCTGGGCCGGAGCTTGTCGGATGCTTTGTTGGTTGTCGTTCGTCTCGGCGAGTTGATTTCAGACGCGGAAGCCGTCATATGAGGCCGGTCGAAAGCGAGTTCAGAGTTCAGCGTGGTGTTTGACGTAGGTATAACGTGAAAATACGGAGAAACGGTGTGCATTTCGCTGGTGACCGACCGGGATATTGCCACGGAAGAGACAATCTGACCTACGTTGCTCGGACCTCGGATTAATTCGGATACCGCTAGGATAAAATTTAAGGCGACGTTTCTGTGCTCTCGTTCACCATCGGAATCTTCGAGGTTTGCAGTGAAGCGTGTGCAATATATTTGGATACACAGTTTAGCGACGGAAATTGCCTGAGTCGTGCTTGGCGGTGTGCAATCGCGGTGCAGCTTCGATCAAATGACCGAGGGCTCACTTCGGTTGTGCGGCGCACCGGAAGGCTGCCTTGAAGCTGATAGTTCCCGTGCCGTGCTGAATGATGCTGTGCTGCTTACAAATTGTTCCGGCGTAGAAGTGCACTTTCACGGAGCACAGGTGTGCGGCGCACCGAAGAGCTGCCTTCAAGCTGGTAGTTCCTGTGCCATGCTTTAGGTGATGCTGTGCTGCTTCCGAAATTGTTCCGGCGTAGACGTGCACTTTCGCGGAGCACAGGTGTTGCAGTTGGTATTGATCCCGCTGGTCTGTCGCACGTTTCGTCAACACAAACGTTTCATCCACACTCGTTACGCGAATTGCAAGCTGTCCGGACATTTCACCGAGCGTGTTACGTACCCAGCTCACGCCGCTTTGTGGCAACAGTCTGCAGTGGCTCATTACCAGAAAAGTGGTCCCACATCCATTTCAGTTCAGTTCGTTCACGGCAGTCGCCAAACCCCGAAGGAGAGGATTTATTCGGACAAAATGCCACTAAAGCAATGCAGCTTCTTCAGTGGTCAGGATAGATTCTCTTCTGCTAGTTTTGTTATACTGTCACGGATCCTTGTTCCAGTCCTATCTTCTATCAATATTCACTATTCTGGGACACTGCAGGTCATGCTCAGCTGTAATCGTATGTTCAGGTGGAGGTACTGGGCACCTTACCCGTAGCCCTTCACTCTGTGGGAACCCGGCGGCTCTTCAGCCGAGTTACCCGATAATGGGACACGGCTGGCGGACTATTCTGCGTCTTATACCCCTGTCGAGCCGTAGGCAAAGTCCTGACCCGAGCCTGGCAGAACAACCGCAAGACGACCGAGTACCACAAGGAGTAACCTCGGAAATACACCACGAAGCACCTGAAATCCGAGCCAGTTGCTGCTACCAGGAGAAACCACCGGAATTCGGTCTCCTGTCAGAAAGTCCGAAGCTGACTAAGCCAACAATGACAAACCTGTAGCAGCAAACCGTGTCCCCTCCCACCATTGTTTGCATGCCCGTCGCAAATCACACTCAAACGCTTTTTCACGCAAGCTGTATGAAGACGTCAAGGACTGGATTGAACAATATGACAGTGTCGCCCGCCACATTGGGTGGACAGACAACCAGCTCCTGCAGAACCTATACTTCTCGTGGAAGCAACTGCCGGCGCTGGTCTGAGAACCACGGATCCTCCTTAACGTCATGGGAAGTTTGCAAGATCAAGCTGAAGCGCGCATCCGTCAGCCAAAATCAACGAAAGAGAGCCGCATTCTTGATTCTGTCCAGGACACTGCCCCAATGAGAGCGCCACCGCACTCGTGGAAGATGTTTTGCGCTTGATCGAGCGCCCACGCCCACGCCGACCTTGATGCTAGAGAAGACAAGAACCTAAGAATCCCATGCGCCTCACGTGAGGGACAACACCTTCGGCAGCCTTGTCCGCAACCCCCCAACAACAGTCGAAGTGTTCATATCACTGAGGCTTCCAACATAAAATGTGCACTGCATGCCCGAGCCTGCCACTATGAACAACTTCCCGGCGTCTCGACACTCGAGTTGTCCAGCTACTACTTCGACCCCAGCCTCCCAGGCATCCACGACATCATCCACGACGTTGTCTGGGAGGAGATCAGGAAGCTACTTCCTGCCATCAGTTGCCCGGCTTTTTTTTTTTTTGATTGCCGAGATTGTTTTGGAACAAGTTTGACAAGTACTTCAACCGAGACTTCTGCGAGCGAAGCGGCATCTGACAAACCAAGGGCAACTTATGCCACAATGGCACGACGACCGCCACCGGCTGCCCCTTAGTATTCAATGCCAATTCAATGAGACACTCTAACGCCGAAGCATTCCCGACATCGTGTGTAGGTCTGTGCTCAACAAAGTACACCGAGGAAAACGTAGGTGATGCGAATGTGCGACCGAAAACCACTTTGCTACCACTGCATGAAGCCGACCATGTCTACCAAAGCAATGATTTGGTCGGCGAGGGTTCGTGCCAAACGACCCTCGATTACGTCTCGAGGAGCGACCACGGGAGATTAAGGATTACCTTCGGCGACCTTTGTCCCTGATGCCGAAGGTGCTGAATCGAAGATTCTGAATCCCTGATTACCCCAAAGCTCCTCATGTCCATCACCTCAACAAGAGGTAAGCACGACAAAGCAGGTGAGCGGTGATGCAGTGACAGTGGATTTGGTGTCGGTTGTTGTCCAAGGACAATACCTAGAAATTTGCTGACACCAATTTTCTGTGTCCACTCCACGAAGCACACAATTTCCAACTTTGAGGGAGAATGCCCCTGACTGACTTGAAGGAATAGAATGGTTGGTTGCTCTTAAAAGTGAACTGCAAGCATCACCAGACTTGGATAGCAAACAAAAATTGTTGCCAGCTTTCAAGTGAACGGTACAGCAAAAGGCACAGCCACGTAAGCAATACATGCCCGAGCTTGCTACATTGATGCCGAAAACTACCAGGAAAATTTTCGGATTAGAAGCCAGCCCTGCAGCTTCAGTGCATCAGCCGTCAGTCACCGCACATGACGTATGATTACAAGACAGCATCAGTCGGTCAAAGTGGCCACTCGACCAAACTGAACACCGACGTGCCAGGAGCGTCATCCGACAACAAGTTCCACAGGTATTAGGACTGAACGCCTGACACGAGACTGTCGCAGAAAGAACTCGTTATGGAACCATTTACTAAGAATCAATAATTATGTAATCAAGTGGAAATAAACATATTTGATACACTAACCAGATAAACATATTTCCGCTTGCCTTCATGCCTTGAGAGTCTACACACCGAGAATTGTGTCCACTGCACGCTCTAGACCTTACGAGGACACTCGCTTCTCTGACCCTTCAATATTAATTAAGGGGTCATACCAGACTGGCAGACTTCTTGCTGCACTTGTTCAACCTTTCCTGAACATGTGGTGCATCCGAAAACCAACTCCAGTGATGTGAAAATGTTATTTATTAATTTATTCCTTCCAGGGGCCTTCGTAGGCATTGCAGAGAGGATACTTAAAACTACACACATGATAATAGCATTAAAGCACACTGCTGTAACTTGTTAATTGGAAAAACAAACACACCTCTGAGCATATAGTTTAATAGTATGTGTTGATGCATTGTTATATAGCATGACACTTCCTATATGTATGACACAATAGACCCTTTGCAGAACCTTATCAAGCAACACAACCGTCGCCATTTTTTTCGGCGTTAAGCACACGAATGGGCCCCAGTTCACGTCCAACGCTAGTGCAGCATTCGAGTCCAATAGGTGCTGAGCCGAATTCACAGGGATGGCGGGCATAACATTCTTGTCGAACAAATACCCAAAGTATGAAAGCCTGGGGTAATTACAGTAGTAGCTACTGTAATTTGTTTCATCAGAATTTGGCAGACGGCAAAGGCTACAGTCTCGGTGAGTCAATACACACATTGGAGAGAGGCACATGACAGCATATCACCAGAGTGGTCGTCTGCACAGATTTGTCACACACCTTCGCTCCGTCTCTCTGATTGGCTCGAGGGGGCTGTGGCGGTTGGCCTTTTCCAAGTTACGGTGA